GTTAAAACTTTTTTTCAAGTTTCTTCTTTCAGCCTCAAAGTTTTGTAATTCGCTGTTTTTAGCCAGTAATTCATTTTCTAGATCTCTAATCGAGTTGATCCATAATTCATTGATATCTTTTTGTTTTTGTAGATCTCTAATCAATTTTTCATCTCTTTTGGAAACCAATGTGTTTAATCTATCAAAGCTTTCGGTTAAAGTTTCAATAGCACCAAGTGAAATGTTCAATGGTTCTGAAGGCGTGTTCATTGTTTCTTTGACGCTAAACAACAACTCTCTCAATGAGCCCAATTCAAGACTGAATCCTCTTTTCAAAACTGAAATCTCTTGAATATAAGGACCAGATTCAATATCAATATCTTCATTTTCTTGAACAATACTGACTTCCCTCGATTCGTTATCATCTTCATCATCGGTATCATAAACAATTTGGGATGGACGGCGAGCTTCAGTCTGTTTCAAGCGCTCATTTTCTTTGATGTCAGCTAAACTGTTTGCACTAGATTCCAATTTATTAGAATTTTCTTCAACTGATCCAGAGCTTAAGTTTCTTGTATGACGGTTAACTCCAGCTCCTCCAACACTATCGAAGCTATCTTTTCTTTCAGTTTCTTGGGAATAACGAATAGCTCTTTCCTTATCCTTAGCATATCTTATTGCTCCTTGTAAACTCCAAACCCAACGATTTGTTTCAATTGGATAATTACTTTTCAAATGCCATCTAACACCACTTTTACTGATAATTTCAAATTTTTGTTTTTCTGATGAATCTAAATGTAGAATGGCACTTTTCATGTTTAATGACCCTCTACAAGCATTATTTGTATCTTCTTGACTCTTATAATATGACAAGATCCCATTCGAGTCCAAGATGAACCAACGCAACTTGTAACCTGATGCAAAATTTGTCCATTTTCTCAAGTATCCTTTATATGTTGGGGCTTTAAAACCTGTTGATCTACCAGCTTGACTTATAACATTTTGATCTTTGGTAGCATCCTTCAAAATTTTCTTCATGGTGTCATTATTTTTCCCAACCAATTCAATTGGTAATTTCCCCTTTCTATCTCTTTTGAAAGGATCACCTCCATGAGTTAAAATCCATTTTACCATTCCAATATCATTCTTCTTGACAAACTCATGTAAAACAGTATCACCTGTCTCTGGATCATTCCCATTTATATCCAATAATTCAAAATTTCTTGGTGATGCCAAAATCTCATCCAATCTCGCAAAATCATGGTTTGTGAATGCAGACCTCAAATCATTAGCGATTCGCTCAACATAAGCAGCACGTTCCTTTTGAAGCAATTCCACTATTCTGAGGTCCTTCGCCACTTCAATTGGTTGTTTTAGGTCATTATTGAGGATTGTATCGTTGATTCTCTCATCTCTCAGTAATAATTGAACGACGTCTGCCCTAGAGTTGAGTGCAGCTAAATGAAGAGGCGCATTCCCATTCTCATCCTGGTAGTTGACATCGATTCCTAAATCTTTTGAATCATCTGACAACAATTGAGTTATGACTTGGAGTGGCGCAACTTGAACTGCTAAGTTAAAGATCAAGTTCTTGACTAATGACAATTCATAATAATTCACTGAATCCTTAACTGAAATGACAAGTTGTCTCAATTGATCACAGTTGTTGTTCTTCAAAGCATCTAATATCTTCAATTTAAATAGGGGTGGATTTATAATGTTTGCTGATGAGCTGGTTCTATTACTAGCTTGTGTTGATGGGGTTGTATTCCTATTCGAATTGTTAGTTTCCTCATTTATACGAATACCTTTGGGACTTTCGACAACAACATACGCTGTGTTGAGGCTGGCGCCTTCAGAAGCTTGACTTCCAGTATCATTAGACGACATTCTCTCTGTTTGCAACTTCTGACACTTCTAGTCAATTGTAGAAACAAGGAATGGAATCAATGGAAGTTAAAGGCAGTAATTTCACGTAAATAAGGCTGTCATCATCGAACATTGCGATGAGATTACAAAAACATAGAGAAACTTCCCGAATAGGAAATTTACCCCATTAGACCGGACTA